TTCCATCCTACCACGGCCAATAAAGGCGTGCTTAGGACAGTTCTCCAGTTTGCCACGAATATTGAAGTAGGGTTTTGAGTTTAGAAAAGTTCATACCTCCGCGGGGTTGTAGTGGTTGACACGTGGATCGAGGGGTCACTCGCCTACCTCGTCGTAGGTGTCGCACCGGGTTCCCTCCTACCACGGCCACTAAAGGCGTGCTTAGGTGGTTTGCCGGTCCGACACGGACATCAAGGAAGGAGAGTGGGGGGAAGCAAGCATTTTTAAATTAATTATAATTAAATTAATTAGTCACAATTAATTATGATTAAAAATAGCTAATTATAATTAATTATAATAAGATTTGATTAACTATAATTAATGTCTGATTAATTAATAATTAATTATAATTAAAAATTAATCATAATTAAATTTAATTAATTATGAATAATAATTATAATTAAACATAATTGATCATCATTAAATCTAATTAACTAAATCTAATTTATAATTAATGATAATTAATTATAATCAAATTAAGTTAATTAAAATTAATTCAAATAAATTTATATAAGAATTGAACGGGATTTAAGCTATATCTCATTTGAATTTGAATGAGATTTAGTTAATCTCCAAATAGCTTAAATCCTCAGTTTCCCCTTTCAGCCCCCTCTAATTTATGGGATCAAGCCGAAGAAGCGCTTGAAAGGGCACAAGTTACCTTCACAGCAAGTCATTCATGTTGTTTGCTTCCGATCAAAAATGTCGTAACCTCCAATCGGACCGAAAGGGAGGTCGTGGAAGGAGCTAGGCTGGGCAACTGCGAACGGAGCTGAAGTGGCGTCCGAACAGGAGAAAGTTATCTTCACGGTCGGCGGCTTCCCTTGTGGCCTCCGATCAAAATGTTGTAGCTTCCACTCCGCCAGGCAAGGGGCGTCTGAGGAGGAGGCAAGAGAGCCGGTCGGCAATGAGGAATGGAGAAAGGGATCGGGTGAGAGGTTTGGATCGGAAGCAGTGACAGTAGAGGAGTTCGGGTATGTGGATCTTTCCTCTCTCTCTCTCTGCGAACTGAAGGGAGGCGAAAGTGGAAGAGCTGGAGGCAGTGAGGGCTCGACTGCTTCAGGAGTTCTGCGAATGAGTCCCGAAGGCTTCCACGGGTCCGGTATTTAACGACGGGAATGGGGCAACAATCGAGAGCTGGATTTCGGCAGGGATTGCGGAGGAATGACAGGAGCGGCGCCGATTCAGCAGGATTCGCGGCATGATTCGAGGATCCGACGGGTATGAGGTTTGTACATGGGATTTTCACTTTGACTTATCCTCTCTTTTGTTCCTTTGGGTATTATTTGAAGGTCAACATACTCTAACTAAAAAAAGCAACAATCTAATTCAATATAAAAGAAACAAATCAAGATAATGTAGAAATCTATCGCAAGTAAATTTAATGTAAAGCCTCATAATCATTCTTAATTGAGAATTCTATTATATTATTGATAGTAGTAATTAATTATGGAGGCTTGCGCCTATGAGAAACATTGAACGAGCACTATGTTGTCTTTAACGAGCATAAAATTGCAAAATATTCCCCAATCCAATGCTTAAATTTACTCTCAAATCACCTCAAGTTCTTGAATTAAGCCGAGTGAGTATTTTCAAAGTTTCTCTCTCCTTTAGACATGCCTAAGTCACATAAGCTTATATCCAAAAATATTATCTTAAAAAGGTATTACTCCCATCATCACTTGGATATAATTATTTGTCAATCCATCTTTCATAATTTTATGATATATCAATCTTAACATTCCATATATGTTACACTCAATTTGGCTGTCATTGACATATTAATCGCCCAATCACTAAGATCCATATAACATAATTAGTCTAATTATTGTTTAATAAAATTAAACTTTATGATTTCATAATATCATGGATGTCATAGTAAGAACTTCTCTATTTTAAACACCTATATCTTCATTCTTTTGTATGATATACCCAAGATATTCAAACATATCACATATAGGTATCATTTGATTTTCCAATAAATCCTTTATAATTTCACTAATATTAAAATTGCATTTATTTAAGTTGTTTTCATTCCAGAAATTCTAATCACTTTATTTCAAACTTTCAATCATCACTTATTAAAACAAGAATCTATCAATAACATACAGCAAAGTGCCTCACCTTTAATACCATCATAAGCTTCTTCATAACTAATGCAAAATAAATTATGGGCTTAATCTTGAATCTTGATGTCTCCTATTAGAATTAGGGATTCTTTGATCTCTTCACAGCGACATCTAATGCAAGTTAATTCTCCATAACATATATCTTTTAACATTTTTCAATACCTTTTTCGTAGGCCTTTTCTCCCCAAGGCATATCAAATCCATTCTCTTGGCAGTCCATTATATGCTCTCTTTCAATATCAATAAAAATCATATAAAGATTCTTCCTTTGTGTTCAATATTTATCCATTTGTCTTAACACAAAAATCTCTTAAATATAAATCTTACCCGCATATAATCAAATTTGTTCTCTTATATCAACATAATGTTTCTAAGCCTATATTCGATTATCCTCTCCCATGACAACATTATATGATGCATAACCTTGATTTCCCCATAATTATACAATTGTGAATTATTAACATTTGTTTGCTCTTAGAATTCCTTCCATAGTTCTAACATTGGCATGACATGACACTACATACCATATATCACGACTAGACATCAAATGGCTAAGCATTAGTACGGATATTGCAAAACTTGATAGAAAGAAATGTATATTCACGATAATTCATGATTTGCATTTTCCACAACAAGAAAGCTAGGGACTACCGTATTGAACCATATCTGAAAAACTATTGCAGTGCAGTAAGTAAATCGCAACTGATGAAAAATGGGAAATCAACAGGTAAATGACACCAACTTTTTGACAGGACATTGCAAAATTCTACCGCTTTATTTCCTGGTTATTTGGAACTAAAGAATAAATAAGTTTATCACTCATATTGTCAACTACTAGTCAATACTGGCACTATTTCAAAGGCTATTAAAGGAAAAACCGTGGCACACACCGGTTCATAAGTGCACTTTCCACTATCCAAGTAAATGGAGGTTACAGTGAATAGCGTTGAACATCCACAATCAACCAAATTTATAAGGTCAAACAAGAATTACCCAGGGCAACAGAATGAAAATTTTTATTAGTATTAAGAACAGAATCCAACATCATAATATTGATAGTTGATTACTTCTGCAATATCACAAGAGAGGAAGCCTACATACATGCTCCCCAAAATTGTATGTTCTGCAAATTTCAGGATGAACAAATTGACGATCTTTATGTACATCCTTCAATCTCAACCAATCATCCCAATAAGTATGGAATGTCAAGGAAAGTTCTTCATTAAATAGCTCAGAATTAATAGCAACATGTCTAATTCAATAAATAAGATACAGTGAAAATAATTATAGGATATGCTTTAGGCCATTTTGGTGTTAGCTCCTCCCATGTGGGTTTTGACAACATCCATCCAAGTCCAGGAAAAAAATCTGAACGATAAGAGGATCGGGAGAGAAGTCATGAATGAGGCCTTTTGCTCTCATTTTATCGATGCGAAAGAGATCGTGCCGAGAGGTCGTGTGCGACGTGGGGGAGATCGTGGGAGAAAATGACGGTCGCGGGATATTCGCGATTTGGGCGGCGACGACGTGCGGACAGGTACAATTTTATTTTTTTTTTCTTTTTTTTTTATGCTATTAACAGGTCAACAAACATGTATAATCAATAAATAAGATACAGTGAAAATAATTATAGGATATGCTTTAGGCCATTTTGGTGTTAGCTCCTCCCATGTGGGTTTTGACAACATCCATCCAAGTCCAGGAAAAAAATCTGAACGATAAAGAGTCTCTGCACAACGGATTAGCAAGCAGCATGAACAGGATGTCTTATAAAAAGGCATGAAAACTATCCCTGGTTAAGTTGGAAAAGAAAAAAATCAAAGATATTTTAAGTCTTACTAGGATCATGGACAAATTGCACTTGACCATTATCATTCCAAGAAGAAACAGCCATGATAGACCTTCCAATGTTAGCAAGTAAAGTTTAGTCAAGTGGCAAAAGAAGTTAACAAAATAAGTAATGAGAGATTCCAAATAATAAAAGCATGATAAATGCTGCATCAGATATCGTACTTATCTCTGTCTAATAATGTCGCCGCAGCCTCAAAATAATCAAAAAAATCAGGTGCAATCTCCATGTCATCTGCTTAGGGAAGAGAATATAAAAACTGAGGACATCCAAAGTGAGGAATAACTAAAATTTTCAAAATACAAATATAAAACCAAATCTCCCTAAAAGAGCACCTTCTAAAATGATTACTCGATCAAAATTATGATTCAAAAATAATTCATCCAAAGCCCACTTGTAGTGTCCTGAACAGATAGTACACTTTAGACGAGGATTAAAAAGTAATTAATAGAAAAAGGAAAAGCTATACACACTTGCAATTTTATAGTATGCAATGAACTCTCCAGGTCTCTCGGTATGCACTGGTTCAAAATCCAAATGCTGCAATACCATAGTCAATCATATTAGTCAGCAATATCAGTAGTTCCTAGTTGACTTGGCATGTTTGGCATGACATTGTAGATTCTAATCAAAGTTTAATTTTTACCCTAGATTTTGCTCGAATTGTTCATATCATGCACATTAAAGGATTCCAGATAAAAAGAGAAAATGCAGGTGTTATAGTTTCTCTATAACATTAGCTGTCAGCTCCATAGTTTATACCTAGCTGATCAACAGGAAACAATAGAGTTATTGGTTAAGAATTTCTCTCTTTTTAGGTTATGAAAACTACATAAAAACTAAAAAGTTTTAAGTTGTTTAATTAACTGCGATTATCTCCCTTTCAGAGAATAGCCATGTGCTTCCTAAACGGGATCATCATTTTCATTTACATGTCTGCTGCTTTTCTTGTTAGCCAACAAAACATAATGCATGAACAAGCAAAAGTCAACTGTAATGCATTCCCTGAATTGGTATGCAGAATACCTGGTTAAATCAACAAAGGAAAGAAGAAAATAGACATTTCTACAATAGGTGAATAGTTACTAGGGTTCCTAAATTGTGGAATTAAAAGACTTTTCTGCGGCAAGAAAGACTACGGGTTTAGAACCAATGCACTTAAAAGTTCTCAATAATCATGTTTTTTACTCCAAACTTTCCAAAGATAATTTAAAGAACTTAATGTCGGCCACCGCTGCATTCAATTCACCTACACGCACCAGCATAAGCATGATGAGCACTGATCGGTGCCACAAGGCGGGGTGAAGTCCAACAGCTGCATGGGCACCAATCAGTGCAGGTGAAGCCGATGTGGAGTGGCTAGCACTGGTCATTTTGAAATGAAAAAAACATGTATGCTAATCATTTAAGGATACTCTTCTATCTATTTAGATATACTAGCCCAATCTAAAAGATCAAGACTACTCTAGCAGGACCTTGTACAAAGCAAAGAATCGTTTCTTCATTGAAACTAAATCTTAGAATTCAGTTCATTTGTGATATTCTCAGTTGTAAAATAATACAAAAGTGGGTGGGTGGTTTTAAATTGGAGATTTGATCTAAATTCTTACATAGGACGACCCTCTTAAGTGAGGGTAAAAAAGGAAAATTCATAATAAAAATTTAAAAATTACAAATAAAATATAAGATAACGTGGGACGATGACAGCCGTTGATCTTCAGCTCCTCGAATAGCCATAGATGGTTGGTGTCCGCATCAAAAAGATTCTAGAAGAGCATGTGATAGTTAAGGAAAATGGATTCTATTGAAGATGAACTATTATAGTTACAAAAAAAAAAAAGATCTTCACAAAATGCTTCTCCGTAATACTATTAAAGTAACTAAGAATTTCACCAGGAGAAATCTTAGCCATTTTGAAAAAAAAGAAGTAATTATAAGTCAGAAGAAATCTTAGCCACTACCTTCATCACCCACAACTTCAACTCCTAATAACACTATCCCCACACCTCTAGATCAAGAAGAAATTGAACTGTTCCTTACACTAATAGCTCAAAAATCCCAAATCATGACACTCAAAGGTAAAATAGGTGCACTAAAGAATGATTGCTCCAATTCCAAAACCATTGCATTCAGAGTATATTCTCCAAATTCTGAAAAAATGAAGTAATTAACTAATTATAGTTTTTGAGCCTACATTCCAAAAGAAACTGAAAGATGAAAACAATGATATAGACTTACCAATTGGCATTTGGAAAAAGACAAGAGAATGCACCAACGCATTATATTCTACCTCTCACTTTGAGACATTTGACAAGTTTATTGGTGTATATTGATGATATAATTATAACAGGAAATGATATGCAAGAGACACAAAACCCTAACTGAGCGTCCGCCTGCATGTGAAATTTAGATGTATCGCCTGTGGGAATGCGCAAGGGAATGTCCTGTCGTCATCATTGCTTCCTCCTATCATCGTCGTTGCTTCCGATCCAACTACAAAACAGCATTTTCCCTGTCGTCATCATTTTTGCTTCCTCATGTCGTCGTCGTTGCTTCAGTTGTCATCTTCAAAGGAGCCAAAGAATGGTGGGAGAAGAAGAAAAGAAAACACTAGTAATCAGGTTTGTGCGGGACTATGGGGAAATCGTCGTCTTTGCTTTCGATCCAACTGCAGATGAATCATCAGAGGCCTCAATCTTAGCCTGATCAGCGGCCATCCCTTCCTGGGATACCACGTGCCCCAAGTACTCCACACTAGCCAGTGCAAACAACACTTCTTCAGATTGGCTCTCAACTGATGCTCCTATCACACCTCTAAGAGCGCCCTTAGATGCTCTAGATGCTCCTCCCTGGACTTGTTGTACGCCAGGATGTCATCAAAGAAAATCATAATAAACTCCTGAGGTAAGATCGGAACACCTTGTTCAAGAGGGATTGGAAGGTAGTAGGAGCGTTGGTGAGACCAAACGGGATCGCTTAGAACTTATAGTGTCCCTCGTGTATTTTGAAAGTTGTCTTTGAAACATCCTCATCTCTCATCCGGATTTGATGGTACCTGAACTTCAGGTCCACCTTCATGAATACCGCCACTCCACAAAGTTCATCTAGCAACACATCTATCATTGGAATATGAAACTTGTCTAGCACATACTCCTTATTCAAGGCCCGATAATCCACACAAAATCTCCAGCTTTCATTCTTCTTCTTGACCAGTAGAACTATTGATGGGGACATCAAATCATGGAAGGTTTATCAGAGACGTGGCCGACGATCTACGGCCACGATTGAGTCATTGTATTTTTTATTTATTTTATGTATTTTCTTATTTATGATGTCGTATTGTATTTGCTTTATTTAGTTTCACGTTGTACCCTTTTAGTAAGGGATGTCGTATGTAAGCCCTAGGGACATTGTCATCCTTTATGTTTGAGTCATTGTAAGAGGCTATTTATAGCCCCCTTCTTCTTCTTTGCAAGTTAATGAATGATTGATTAAAAATATTTTTTTCTACTTGCATGAGTCTTGTAAGAGCTTGAGAAATAGGAGAGAGATCCCTAGGAGAGGAAAGATTGCGCATTACCCACCAACCTAGACGAGTCGAGTTCGTGGTTCTATTACGTATCTTTTCATTTCCCCTTCCACCGCCACCAGCCAACATCATCCCCATGGTTTTTCCCTTCCCCAAGCCCTTCCCCTTCTCTCCACCAAGCTCCACATAATCCCCCACCTAGTCGCCGGCCCCATGCCCGAAACCCCTCAACCTGCCGGCCCTAGATCCCCTCCCCCAGTGCTTTGCCTTGCCTAATTTGGGTTGGTATAATTTGAACATATTTTGATATTCAAATTCAAACAATTTGAAATTTAAAATCTTTTCTAAATTACCAATGTTATTTTAGGAAAGTTCCTAAATTAAATATATTTAAATTTCAAATTCAAATCGAATTTAATTAAATACTTTCCTAATTCCCAAACCTAAATTAAGCAAGCATTAAACACTTGATTAAAACCCTCCTCCCCCATTAATGCCGTCAGCCCCCCTATTTGGATTGGGATAGGAAATATTTCCTAAAACCAAATTCTTATTTTGAGAAATAATTTCAAATCCCCCTATTCCCTCATTGCCCGAAATCTTTATGCTCCCATTGATTTAATTTCTTTCTAAAAGGGAGTATCTCCTTATGGATATAATTTTCTTCATCCCCACTTCAAGTTGAAGAGAAACTTCTTTCTCTTCAACGGTTTTCAAGATTACTAGCAATCTTTGGGAAGAAATCTTCATCTAGCATTCATGAATGGCCGATCCCGACACTGACTACGAACTTGCCTACGACGAACAAGGCTTCGTGCACATTCTCCATTCATCCTTCTTCGACGTCAACCCGAGGATCGATCACATGGTTAAGGACTACATAGAACGCATCTTGAACACTTTGGTTGAAGCTATTGAAGAGCAACTAGAGATCGTCGAGTGGAAGATTGCAACCGATCCTTGACGAAGGTTTTCTACTCTTCCTTTTCTTGTATTTCTTAAGTCTAATCCTTTCTTGTGATTTGATTGTGGTCATGAAGGTCGCGTTTGCCCGATTCTGCTAAGCTTAGTAAACGTAGGGTTTGAGTGCATTCACTTGCTTCTAATCTTATTGTTAGACTAGTGATTTTTGTTGAAAGCTACTACTTTGCATGATACTATTTTTTCTATGATATTTTGTTGATTCAAATCTCTTTACATGTAACTTAGCCTAAACGAAAGTGACCGCTCTTATGTTTTGATTCATCGTTTTATTTGCTAATAGTTCTAGTTGTTATCTCTAGTTAAGTTGTGCAAGCTCTTAATAAAACTATTGCAAGCATTGTAGTCCTACATCAACTATGCTAAAAAAAGGGTTCACGCTCGTCCTGATGATTCATGCCTCCAATATCTCCCGAATTAGATTCTCAATCTCATTCTTCTGAATTTGGGGTAGTGGTAAGGTCTGACACTAATCAGTGATACCCCATCCCTCAACATGATGGCATGTTCATATCCCCCCTGTGATGGCAACCCCTGAGGTGGCTAAAAAATCTCACTGAACTGTTGTATAATCGACCGTACTGAAAGAGAGATGTCCCCCCTTCCTCCCGATGAGAACCTAAAGAGTTCGGTCCTTACAACAATACATGTTGCCCATTTATCCTACACCTCTGCTTCTGTGAGTCGCTTGAAGTTGCCCCTCGGGCAAACTCCATTGCTCTTCTCCATAAGAGCTTCTCTCTAAAAAGATATTGTCTGGGTTTTGGATGCTATAGTTGTAGAGGTACTCCTGTTCGCCCCCTCATCTTTTATTTTGTATTCAAATAATGGGCCCTACAAGAGGGGCTGGCTATTGTTTGGTCCACCTGGAGTAAACCAGGGGCCGGCCCTGGTACCGGTCTACCATAATGAACACGACTTTATCTAGACAACAATGTCAAAATGCAAAGGATGATATTTTTTCAAAAACAAGCAACTATACTAAACAGAAGAACAAATTAGATTATGAGGTGTGATAATAGTTTCAAAACCTGCATGTATGTTATCTGACTATAACTTAAAGCTGCCTTTTTAACATCTGGGCTCGTTCCATCCTGCAAATCAGTAGGCATAATATTAATTTTGAACCTCACAACTATCAAGTAAATGCAAAACCAAAGAATTAAATACCAAAAATCAGGCATGCTACCTGAGAAACAAAAAGGGGAAATTTTGATGCAACTGTACTCTGATACCTGAAATATTTTAATAAGAGAGAAAGCCATAATTCATAGGAAATATGGCATTCTTGTGTAAAGGATATAGAAAACAAAACCTACACAATATTTTAAAAAAAGACAGTAAACTAATGAATAAAGAATCTAACATACTTCAGCACAGATAAAATCGTCCTCTTCAGATAATCTGGTCGATTGCAAGCCATTATCACAACAGCAGCCACAGGCGCCTGAAAAGGAAGATGGACATCATGAAGCAAATGTTGCATGCCACACGTACAATAAAACGTACTGTATAATCAAAAAGACCAACAGGCATACAAAATTGGTCAAACCATGGTAATCATGTAAAATAATAAATAATCTGATTAAATACAGTCCCTGTTAACTCTGGAAATAAAATTACCTCAGCTTTTTCGAAGATTGTTTGAAGGCTCTTTTCTGCAGCAATATTGCATTACATTAATTGAGAAACTGCATGTTAAACTTATTAAAAAAAATGCATCTATTTTAACAAGAAAAAGCAATCCACGAATTGTCTTCAATTGCTTCCAAAAACAAGGATGCTCCTTTTACACTGAATATCCACTTTGACTTTATGGTATGGTTTTGCAATTATGAAGAATGATAAATCCTACAACACCCACTATTAGTACTATTATTATATTAAGTTTTTCTATCATCATAATGAGCACAGTAAAATATAAAAGGCCTTGTGAAAATAGAGGAGAAACCCTCAGTTGCAAGTATTTAAAAACTTATAATCAAGATTTGCCAATTCCATAAAGAAAATATAAGTCAAAAGTGAACTTTATGAAGTAAAAGAGAAGGAGGTTACTCTGAATTCTTTAATAATCAATGCAGCATTAAAACAAGTGACAAAATGAAATGAAAACCATACTTTCAAGATCTCGGACAAGAGTCTTCAGTTGGGCAGACTCCTCTTCATAACGTCTATTCAAATCTGAAATTGAACGAGACAATTACAGCCTCAAAACTGCAGCAAAATGATAGATGCTTTTCACATATAAGTAGTACAACATCATAAGCAAGACTGCAAGATCAATAAAAGATACCACGATACAGAATCAACATTTGTGTACTATACGGAGATAGTCACTCTAATTGACAACGAATGTTCTTATGTCCAAGAAGCTTCCATGCACGCCGCAACTGAATTTTAAGAGCCTATGCTATTTGTTCTTACCAAAGTCTTAAGGCGTTGATTGATTAGATGCATTTAAAATACATGTGTTTTAGAAATACAAATTACAAGTAATGAAATCTAATTTGATTTTCAGAAATTGTTAGATTGGATAAAACTTAAATACAATAAAACTATTTTCTGTTAGTTAGGATACATTTTAAATACAAAGCTAAGCATTTTAAAATGCAAAGTTCTCGTCAGCTTTATTAATACACATGTCAACACTTGCCACCTTCATACCGCATCAACTTCACCACCTCCTCTAAACTCTGTCTCTACCTCATCATTCCCTTCCCTTTCCACCACCGCCACTTCCCTTGTTCCACCGTCGGCTTCCCTTCCAACCACAAAAACTCGGAGCAAAACAAAAAGCACAAATAAATCACAAGCAACCACCATCCCAAAACCTTCTCTAAACTCATCCCACTCCTCAAAAAAACCACTGAAGTTCGCATCACCCATCCAACCAAAAATCCTAACATCTCAAATCCACCTCAACCACAATCAACACTGGCCACATCACAGATGCCAACATCCCTATCAAAACCCCTAACCCAATCAACACATCAAACAAGGGCTCTGCATAAAATCTCGACACCACCACCTTCATCGTCTGTCATCATCCCACTACAACATTAGATCACCCAAAGAATTCTCAAATGCCAAAACGGTTGGCCTAAGCAACCTCAGACCGATCACAAGCAAGCATAATAGTCCCAAGGGACACAAAGTGAGGAGCTACTTTGTCATGAGGTAAGTTCACATCACGCTCATTAGGAAACCACTAGCTAGCAATGAACAAAATTTTGTCAGTGTCCCATGCAAACGAGTCAATGTAGCAATGCATTTGAAATTCACCTAGTTTGAGAGAATGTAAATTTCACAAAAAATAAGGCCTAATGGTAGTTCAAATTCTCCACAAAAATACTTTGCATCTACTTCATAACAAACAACTGAAAAATTAAAAACCTATATGTTACTTTTTACTTTACACCGCAAATACTCGCAACCAAATAATTCCACAGGCAAAAAAAATCGACACATCTTTATAATCACATCTGAAATTCATCAAGTTATTATGCTTATTTTTTAGGAGAATTATGAGAAGCAATAACAAGTGAAAAAAATAATCAATCAACTATGGTTAAAGCATGCATCACAAAAGAGAAGCTTTGAAAGGATAAAAAAATATGAGGAACATATAATAGATAAAAGAAACAGGGCGTAAGTTTCAGGTTTCTCCTGCTTTTCAAATGAAAACTTGGTTCCACATTACAAAATCACACAAGTAACTTTTCTTTCAAAAGCATTTGCCATGCTAGATAATGAAAAAAATTCAAAACTCAAATAACAAAATCCTTTCTATGCCAAATAGTTGTTTTTATCTCTCCTCTCAATCCATCATCTGTCAAGTTGTTTCTAAGCAGTGCTATTACATAGCAGTTTCATTAGTAGTTATGGGATGGCTTCTAACATGATGCCCATCTACCCTGATCTGAGAGCTTACTATATCCAAATTATTTTTCAATGTTCACAGATATTATTTCACTTATTGGGTCACCTTTTATCCAGTTCTTTACGAATTACATTCTTAATTGCCTACTTTACCGTAATTCCCTGAACAATCTTATCTCTTCCAAGTTGGGTAGTATACCCTCTATCTCTCTCATTGGTGATTTTCTTGAAGGACAGATACACATAACTAGTAAAATCTCTCAGTTCATTCCATGTTCTACTTCTGAAACTTATAATCATGAGCGAACACGACATTCCATTCCACTCTTTTGTCAATGTCTCAAAAACTAGTTTTCAGCATAAACATTTTTTTTTTTCTTTTCAGGGAAAAAGTAGCTCATTTGAGAAGATGGAACGCTTATACCCATATCTAACAACCACTGGGCCCAACATTATAAAACCCTCATAAAACATATACACCCTTTCGCAATAACCCAATAAAATACAATAGCCTGAATAAGCACTTTCCTTATCACTTTCATGTTAAATTGAGAAACCATAAGTTCTATAATTAGTATGTTAAACTTGGAAATTTGACTGCAGAACAGAAATATATACTATTAATAGATTCAAACAACTATTTATATGACTGAAAAAAAAGGTCTGGTAATGGTAAAATTTTACAATTAAATGTTCAATCGTAAATAAAGGTACAAAATATTTTACCTCCCTCCAAGTTCCAACACACACCCACATTCATACAAATTAAAAAGAAACTGAAAAATCCCAAAATAACTCTTAGACGATTCTTGTATGGCCAATTCAATCTCAAAGTATCAATTTTGTCCCAATTTAATCTCTCGACTACATAAAATTGATCCAAAACAGTCCCTCGTGTTATAATTGTAATACAAATTGATTCCAATTTAATCCCTTGACTTTATAAAATTGATCCCAATTTAGTCTCAAAGAGACCATTTTGGATCTATTTTTTATGGTCGAGGGTCTAAATTAGAGCAACGTTATACTTTGGGGTTAAAATGACCATATACGAGTAGTCTTGAGACTATTTGGAAATTTAACCCAAAAAAGAAAAAAATTAGTACTTTTTTGTAGCTTATGATAAAACGTTTTCAAGTATAAATGTAAACAAAAAATGTAAAAAAAGGATTTGCACCTTCTAATTTAACAATTTTCTCTTGTTGCATGCTTATCTGGTCAATCAGTAATCGGGTATGGCTCGAACATTGGTTTTCTGCCCCAATCTGTTTGCATGCAAGAGTAATGAAGACACTGTTAATGAAAGGGCACGTTATTAGACAGACCAAATATTTAAATTTTTTAAAAAAATTACTAATAATAAATATAATATTAAAAGTATTGTAAAGTATTTTGATTGTGCATCAGAAAGATAGTATTATGTGGGAAAAAATAGCTAGTGGTATTAAAAATATTGCAAAGTATGTGCTTAGAATATAAAAAAGAAAATCCCCAATGGTTAAAAAAATTGGCGATAGAAACAAAAAGTGCAAAATTAAAAATTTTGTTATAAAAATTAGTTTATATGTAAAATCTCAAAAAATTGGATAAGAGATAGAAAGGCCCGAAAGAGTCTAAGAAAGTAATATGCGATACAAAAAATTTAGCCTTTAATGATTTATATAATAGATTAGATACTAAGGAGGATGAAAGAAGTATGTATAAGTTAGCCAAGCAAAGAGATAGAAGAAGTAAGAATTTAATTCAAGAGAAGTGCATCAAGAATGAAGATTGAAAAATGTTTTTATTAGAAGAGGATATTCAACATATGCGGATGAGATATTTTGATAAGCTTTCCAATGAAGATTGTAAGAATACAATTGATTTTAGTGATCTTAACACACTAAATGAATATAGAGATTTTTTTTTATCATCGTATTAGTAAAACTGAAGTTCAGAGACTTTAAAGAAAATGAAGCGTGGAAAAACCATTGAACCTGATGATATTCCAATAGACGTGTGGAAGTACTTAGGAGATGAAGGAATTTTTTGGCTCGCTAAAATTTTTAATATTATTTTAAAGACTAAAAATGAATGAGTGGAGGAGTATATTGGTTCTTACTTTTAAGAATAAAGATGATGTACAAGAGTGTGTGAATTATAGAAGAATCAAGTTAATGTGTCATATATTAAAACAATGGGAGAGAATTATTGAGCATAGGTTATGACGTGATACTAATATTTCTCAAAATCAATTTCGATTCATGTCGGGTAGGTCTACTATGGAAGCTATATATTTGAGAGGTTTGATAGAGAAGTATAGGGAGAATAAGGAAGATCTACATATGATATTTATTGCTTTAGAGAAAGCATATAATAAAGTGCCAATAGAAATGGTTTGGAGAGTTCTAGAAAAGAAAGAAGTTAATAATGCTCATATTCAAGTCTTTAAGGATATGTATGCACTAGCTGTTACTTGTGTTCAAACACAAGGTGATTTGATCAAGTATTTTCCTATTTCAATTGGATTGCACCAAGGATCAGCTTTAAGCCAATATTATTTTGTTTCAGTCATGTATGTTCTTATTAGACATTTGCAAGAGGATGTACCATGGTGTAAGAGGATGTACGTTCTTACTAGACATTTAGTCATGTTTTAATCATGTATGTTCTTATTTCTAGTTTTCACCAAGCTTGTAGGGAAAGAATTTCTTACTTCAAAAGAACAAGAATGCAGTGATAATAGACAATACAAATTTCCATCCACTTAAACGGAGGTTGCAGTTTATATATAAATTAGGTAAAATGATAGCCAGAGTCGGCAACTTACAGCAGTTGCCAGGCGCTCTGCGTACTCTGTTTGGGTTGTGAAAAGGTGCACCTGGAGATTATTTCCAAACAAGAAATATTAACTTTGTTTACTGGCGATTGGTCAGAGAAAGGTAAGATTGATATTGTCTACTGAAGTAAAACTATGAGTCGCAACCGCTAAATATTTTACAAAGCAAAGAGACTTGCTTCCTGGAGATTCAGAACGGTGTCCATAGCGAACTGCGGCTCGATCTCGACACCGGAGTAAACAGTCAAAATCAGAGCACGGGATCAGTACCTGGAGAAGAATGAAGGCCAACGCAGCGGCAACAAGAATGAAGCGCACGTCGCAAAGATTCCACGCCATCATCAATCGCTTCCGTAGAGCAGAGAGGGATCGGAGCAAGACCTTCCGGAGGCTGGTGGCTCCACTGCCGGGGTCTTTCTCCACTTCCTGGGTCTTGCTCGGCTTCTCACCACCGAGAAAGTGGCAATCGCTTGTAAATAAAACTAGAAGTAATATTTTAATAAAATAATATTATAGAAGCCATAAAACCTTTATTTGGTATGTATGTAAATCTCCCATATATGAATATTTTTCATTTTTAATAAATAATGAAATAATTCTGTTGTAAAATTAAATATTATACTTTAATGCGATTAAATAAAAACTATAAATCTATAATCTTAAATATAAATATAGAAACTTTATAGCATGATATTAATACTAAGTTTTAAATGTACCAAAGAAATATTAATTGAAAATGTGATAAATAGTAATAATTTAATTTTCAATTTCACTTAATTAAATATGATAATTGGTTTTATATGGTTCATAATACATGTAAATAGCTAAACATTCTTTTTATATGATTAGACATTGGATTTATTGAATTGTTATCGAAGTTGAAGCCCCTTAAATAAATTAAGCTAGCTTGAATTTAAGCAGTTCGAACCTCATTCAACCCAGGTTCCAATATGATCCACACCCATATTCAATTATTTGTTCAAGCATTGATTTGAATCATCGCTGATTCGCGAGCAGAGCAAAGCATTAGCAATACCGACGATATATGAAGGAAAGTATTTTGAGATATAACTCTTTGGAGAAATTAACATGGGACCAACTACGTGTGAAACATTTTAAGTAAAATAAAGCTAAACTCTTAAATATTGAGGCAGCTTTTTGTGATAGGTTGGAATTTAGTTATAAACTCTATAGTTAAGGTTATACAAATGGGACAAAAATCGTTATATTATTAGACCAAAGTGGATAACATGTCGACAATTAAATAGTTTATGTTGTTACATTGTGTGTGTGAATTAGAATATGAGCTCCTCAAAGGAGCACGTTGGGGGAAAACATTAATGTTCTTTCAACATGTGCAGGACGTGAAGTTCGCAATGGAACTCGTTGAGAAAGACATTAATGGAACTAATTACGTGTGAGGAGTTTGTGATAGAGCTCATTAGAGAAGGCATTGATGATACCAACAATATGAAGGAGAACAACTGTTTATCATGGAAATTCTTAAGGAAAGTATTGACAAGTTGACAACATGTGGTGAAGAATATTAGCTTGTGAAGGGAACTCGTTGAGGCAGCTTTGACAAGACAGTCAAACCTCCTATGATAAAAATGATGAAAAGTTATTTGAATAATTGTTTGATTATTAATTTGAATCAATCCAAATTTAAAGTTACAATTTTAACTAGTTTTGAAAAACTTATAAGTCCAACGAGTAGTCATTTTTTATTTTTATTTTTTTCTAAAATAAACTTGTTGACATATTTCATCATATGAAAACATAAGAAGCGCATTATGAGACCTATAATGTTGAATTTCCCTATTAGTTTTACCACTCTTTTTTTAACAAGATTGTGTAGCTCTATTTGAAAACGTCTTTGCTGAAAATTTTCATCTATACTAAATATTTCTTGTTAATTCTAAATAAAGTCTTTTTATTATCAGTTCTCTCTCTCTCTCTCTCTCTCTCTCTCTCTCTCTCTCTGTGTATATATATATGTTGGTTGAAAAGACCATAGTCTGGCCACGGCTACCCAGTGGCTGGGAAGAAATCATGCAATATTAATTTATGGTTAGGCGTAAGTCTGACAATTTTTGGTGGTCGGACGAAAGTTTGACAAAAGTCCAGCGACGGTCAATGATCTAACAGTGATTAAGGAGGAACTTGGTGGCAATATAGATCTCATATTTCACTTTCTTCTTTCTCCTCCTCCCTTTCTCTCATTGCTTCCCCTCCCTCAATGAAGAATGGGGCATATTTATAATTTTATTTGGAGCGACATGACCAATAAATATGAATAAGATCAATGGCATGTTATGAGTGTTTTGAATGGACAGCTGATATTGACTCCCTTGATCGGGAACCGTTTATTGAATATTTGAATGACTTAATGATATCAGAATTTGGAAATCTTAGGCTCATTGGATTCATCTCACCGATCCGACTATAAGCATGACACATTTGAAAATCATTTGTCATCCAATTTATTGTTTGAACCTTCTAGATGAGCTTTGAGTCCTTGATTTGGACCCATTTTGGCTTGAATTGGGTCGAATTATGTGTCGCTAAGTCCGTATTTTCGAGATGTTCAGTTCGACTATAAGCTTATTGAAATCAAAATTCGTATGGTCCCGTATTCAATTTTGGAATTTTGCCACCAAAATTTTCCTCGTGATTCGTGCATGATCAATATAATTTTTTAATGATATATCAAGTCTAATTATGAGATTATTTTCATTAATATTTAAAGAGTTAAAATATCAAAATGATCGTTTAATATAATTGATAAATATTTCGATCTTTTATAACTAATTAATGTATCATATTAATCATTTTCTTCAAAAGAATATGATTACCAATTAATAATTTACACTAATTAATTAAAGTATTCAACAATATAAATAGCACATATTATATTGATTACATTATATTAGATGAAATTTAAACTTTCATATATGATAACTGTTGCGTGTTAGAAAATACGCGGCGGTAGAGTTTGTAAATTCGCGTCCG